CTGGGGACCGGGACCCCAGCTGCAGAGGCCACGCCCTGGGGTGGGGTGGGGGCGGGGTCACGGGGGCTGCTAGGCGGGGCTTCTCACAGCATCTGCGGGGCGCCCCTCCCCCCCCAGCCCGGAAACCACCTTCCTGCAGCCCCGCACCGCAGCCCCGCGTGGCCAGCACCCAAACAGCTTACATAACCGCTTCCCACTGCACTCGGCTCTGCGTGGAGCGTCCGTGCATGAGAGGGATGGGTGCAGGGCGAGAGGGGAAGCCAGAGGCCGACGATGCTGAGTGCAGAGGGGAGACCCCACCCCACGCTGCCCACCCCGCGGACCCTCCACAGGGGGAGACCCCATCCCACGTAGCCCACCCCGTGGACCCCCGCACAGCAAACCTCCTAAGGGCTGGCTCGGCTGGGTCTCCCCTTGCTGGTCTCTGCTGGGCTGTGGGCCCACACCCGCTGGTCCTTCAGCTTCCCGTGGCCTGACGTGCCCACTGCAAGACCTCCCGCTCACTCAAAGCTTGACGCGGCTCGGGCGCAATGAGATTTCAGCCCCCATGATGTGGTTAAGGCCCAGGACAGCAGCCTTCGAGGAAAGCGCGGGCACCGTGCAAAGGGAGGGCTGCTGCCTGCGCCCGCCCCTGGCCCTGCTCAGAGCCAGCAGGCTGGACACGGGGCCTGCCGAGACACTGCCCGGCCACTGGGCCAAACTGGGGGCCAGAGTCCCCTGCAGCCGCCCTGCAAAGATGCTCCCGCTGAAGGGGGCGGGGGGCAGCTTGGCCTGCCTGACCCTCAAAAGCAGAAAGTTGGGAGACCCAGTCCCAGTGGACCAGCACCTTGGCCAGAAGGGAGAGATGGGCCTCTGCTCCCTGAGAGCCGGGCACCCCAGCAGAGAGGGGCCGGCACCCGCATGCAGGGGGGAAACCGGGCCCAGGGCATGGGGGGTGGGAGGGCCACACTGAGATGGCCCAAGCGAGAGGAAGCCAACGCTTCCCCTGCCCCATGTCTGGCCCCAGCGCCGTCTCCACTCCACACCCTGCTCCAGGCCAGAACCCAGGAAGGACGTCACTCGCATCATCCCAGGAGAGCGTGAGGGAGGAAGATGGGCCTCGGACCCCCCGATCTGGATCAGTCCTTGGTGCTCTCTCCTGGCCCAAGCTGGGGGTCTTAGGGGAAGAAGGAAGTCGTCTTGGCACTCCTGCCCCCTGGGGTCCCATTCTGCAGGTGACCTCCGTGTCTGGTCCCCAGCGGGAGTGTGTCCTTGTCACTCGATAAGTGCGGACCGGAGGGAGGCGGCGGCTGGCCCTGGCCCTGAGTGGCGCCCACGCGGAAGCCGGGTATGTCCACGCTCTCGCCGTGACTCATCACGACCAACAGACGCTAAGTCAGCCAGGCCGGGCCGACGCCAGAGTGACCGTCCCCTGTCTGTCAGCCGAGGGAGGCTTCGCTCACCGCCTTGCTCCTCGTGCATTCATTCAGGAGGGTCAACGCGAGCGCCAGCTGGGCTGCCTGCCCAGCCCCACAAGTGAGTGGCCCCTTGGGAGGTGACCTGAGCATCCCAGGGGGTTCTGCAGGGGGGTCCCCTGCCTGGGCAAAGCAGGAAAGCTCGGGGCTCCTGGGAGAAGCCCTCCCCGGGCACCCAAAGTTGGGATGATTCAGCAAAAGCATCTGAAGCCAAGGAGGGAGCCACGGTGGAACTCACAAGCGTCCAGTGCCCCGAGCCCTGCGCCCCCGACCCCCTTGCCCCGCCCCCTTCCTTCAGGCCTGCCCCACCCCCCACTGCCTGCTTCCTAACAGCCTCCCGAGCCTGAAGGAGGGCACTGTGCCCCTTTCCTGCGGAGAGAAACTGACGTCTCATCCTGCAGCCACGTCCCGAAGATGCCAAAGGGAGCGCGCGGGCCACGGGGGCGGCCCTCGCACAGGGAGGGGGGCCCACTTCCTCCGCTCCCACCCCCAACCCTGGTGTTGGCCCGGGCTGGCGCCCTGTGCCCTGGGTGGCGCATCTCTGGTGCCCCCTCCCCCAACTGCTGCAGGCTCAGCTCTGAACACCAGGCAAGCAGGAACCCTTAAAATCCCCACAGCCCCTCTCCCCTCCCGCTTTACAGATGGAGACGCTGAGGCCCAGCGAGGTGATGGGGCACAACCAGGAAAAGCCAGATCCGGGATGGAGACCAGGAGCTCCATTTCCCACGCTACAGCCGGCCACCACACGGCACTGCCTCTCTTTGGGTCCTGAGAAGGCTCAGAGAGAAGGACCTTGCCTGAAGTCACACAGCAAGACGGCACTGCCATCCGAATTCCAGCTCCCCTCTGGCTGCTCCCAGGGTCCCCACACCACAGTGCCCCGCGGCCCTGACCCCTGATGACGGAGGGAGAGCAGGGCTGGGCAGCGAGGAGGGCCCCTCCGCCCCCCACTGGTGTGGCCCCCTCCGGCCTCCCCACAACTCAGCCAGCTACATCCCGGGGACCAGCCAGACAGACAGTTTCCGCTCCGGGGTCCCACGCACACTGCCGGGTCCAGGGCGTATTTTTATCCCTGCTACAGCCCCGGCGCTCAACAGAAATAAACCTCCGTGTGCTCGTCGCGTCCACGCCTGATCTGTCTGCAGCAGCTCCTGGCACAGGGCACCCAGAGGAGACGGGGCCAGATGGCGCAGCGGGTTTTATTCGAAGGCGCAAACCCCGCATCCCACCCGGCGGGCCTGGGGTGGCGCCCTGAGTGGGACCCAGACACGCCAAGCAGCCGGAAGGGGGAAAAGGAGCCAACCAGGCTCCAGCCGATCTCCCAGGCCCCCTCCGACCATGGGACCCTCTGCCCCGGAGACAGGGCTTGCCCGGGGAGAGGTACCCCGTGTGTACTCCCAGGGCGCCAGGCTGGGTCAGGGGTGTGGGGGTTTGTGGCCTGGCCTGGGGAGAGGCTGAGGGATCTGGCAGTGGCTGACTTGCTGTGTGGTCTCGAGCAAGTTGCTTTCCCTCTCTGGGTCCTCCCAGGGGAGAGACAAGATCAGAGTTTGGGACGGGCAGGATGGAGGCCCCCTTGCCACGGTGCATCCACGGTCGTCTGCATTCTGTGGGAATAAGACCCTCAGAGGTACCTCGCCGTCACCCTGGGGCTGAGTCCGAGTGTCTGGGTACTGGGGCACCGCTCAAGCAGGCCCCCTGCAGCTGGCCGCAGTCCTCATGGAGACCCACGGCCTCCACCTGGCCCAACAGGACCCTCAACCACTGGCCACAAGTGCCATCCCCGGTGCTGACTCTGCCCCTTTCCCCAACAGACACAGCCATGGGGTCTCAGGACCAGGAGGGCCGTGGGCTCAGCGGGAACAGAGCCTAAGGCACAATGGGGAAACTGAGTCCCAGAAAAGCGAGGCCACATGGGTGGAAACCCAGGCCCCTTGGTTCCATCCTAAGGAACTTGGAGCACTTTCCAAGGTGTCTCCTTCCCTCCTGGGGCACCCCAACACACTACCTCAAACACGATGGGGCGGCCTCTGGATCTCAGCCCCCCACCCCAAGATTTACAAGGCAGGGGCTGCAGGAGCCAGGTTGGGGTGACCAGTGAGGGATGCTCAGCTGAAGATTTCCCACCCCCCACCCCCCAAAAAGTCTCCACAGAATATGGCCATTCAAGGGTTAATGCTTCTTGCAGCCGGACCCGGGGGGTCCCCCACTGTGGTCCAGTGTGACCAGGCGATGCCACCAAGCCCAATATTCCGAGTCTCCCCAGAGCACAGTTGCCTGTGCAATGTTCTGGGTTCGAGCCCAGGTTCCGGGTTTGAGCCCGGGGCCTGGGGCCTCGGCACCTACGCTCGAGGCTTCCCTCACTCTCAAGGTCACACGGCCAGTGAGGCGGGGGCCCAGGCACTGGCTGCGGGCAGAATGACAGCGTGGGGGCTGCGTGTCCCCTCGGGCTCATCCTCCCGGGGCCTGGTGCCTCCAGCCTCCCGCCTCCAAGATCAAGAAGCTCGGGAGGAAATCCGGGGGGGCATGGGGTGCGGGAGAAGGGGGGGGTCCCTGAGATAGCAGCACAGAGGGGGTGTCCCTGAAGCAAAGCAGAGAAGCCCCTTCTGGGGGTACCCGTCATGCAGCAGAGACGTCCCGCGACCCAGCATGAGTTGGGGGAGTAGACGACCAGGCGCCCCCCCCCCCCCGCCATCCCTTTCACAACCGGGTCGGGCCAGGCTCAGCCTCCACAGCTCGGAAGTGAAAAAGCCAAAACAGGGGCTGCAATCAGACCCTGGCACCCGACCCCAGACGTCATTCCCCACCCTGAGGGGTGCAGAGGGGGGTCCCCGGGCAGGCACTGGATGGGTCTCCTGGGGCAATGACTTACAGGTCCCACCACCTGTGAAAGCAACTCCCGGCCGGCTTCCCCTGCAGTGAACGTTCCCCTCTGCCCACCTGACCACTCGTTCCCGGCCGACTGTGAGCCCTGCAGGGACCGCGGTCCCTGGGCACTGGGAGCCCGACCAGCCCAGCTGGCAGAAACCACCAGGATTCGATTACTCAGCCCAGCCTGGAAGATGGAGCGTTCAGCCCTGCCCGCTGCCAGCCTCCCCGCCTGCGAGGCCGGCCAGGCTGGGATCCACCCGCTAGCCTCAGGGGACGTGCCCCAACCACCACGGGAGCACCCTGCCGCCAGATCAGAACGCCCCCCCCCCCTTTGCCCCTCTGAGCCAGGCTGGCCACCTGCCCGGCGGGTGGATTCACTCCGAGCCACTGGCCGCCACTTCCTGCATCCTGTGCTGCAGGGACAGAGTGCCCGGGCAGTGGCCGCGGCTCTGACCACCGAAAACACACACAGCTGCCACCCCCTCCTGGGCACTGAGCCGAGACCTCGCTTGGCCAGGGAGCGCTGCCGAGGCTATCAGATGGCGCAGACACCCTCCCCTACCGACGACCCCATACCCCACTGGCTCTCTCGGACATCCCGCATCGCAGCAGAAACCGCAGCCCCCTCTCCCGCCCCCCCCCCAGCCCCTTCCTCTAATTGCAAAGAACAGCACGTACCTCAGCACCGGAGGACTGCAGGGGCAGGCACGGGTTGTGGGTGGGGGTAGGGGAGCCCAGTTCTTGCCGACGCCTCTCTTCCCTGCGGAGGAGAAGAGGCGAACTCCCAGAGACTTGGTTTGAAGGCTCCGCGGAGGTGCCTGCAAGAGAATTTGTTCGTTTGACTCTCCTACACTTCCCAAAATAAAACCAAAGCACCAAAGCACACGCGCGCGCACACACACACACACAAACACACACACACACACACACACACACACGCCAACTAACCCCTAAATCATGCACAACCGAGACGCGAATAAATACCCAGCAGAGAAGCCAAACTCAGCCAGTCCGAGGGCAAGGAAACAGCTCTGGGGCTACAATCCACATGGAGGCAGATCTGCACTGTAAGCTGTGCGCTCTCTCTCTCTCTCTCTCTCTCTCTCTCTCTCTCGCTCGCTCGCTCACTCCTCTCTCTATTCTCCCTCGTTCTCCTCTCTCTCCCCTGTCTGTCTCTCCACGTCCGTCCGCATAGGCAACTCCAGGCTGGCTGTAGACGAATCAATTCCTCTCCTGGTGCCCGAATCAGCCACTGCCGCCAACAGTGCTGCAAATCCCGGTGTGAGCGGGCGGGTGTGCTTGGAGGGGGCGGGGGGGGGGGGAGGCTGCTTCCCAGCGCAGGGGAACCAAGCCTGTCTCCCACCGGGATTTATGGCAGATGCCTGGAGAAGCATCTCCAGTGGGAGGGCAGGAGGGACGACGCGGGGCTCACCCAAGATCCCTGCAGCTCAGCACCGGCCAGCGGAGCTCGGAAGTCAGCACCGTGGACAGCGCTAAAATGCCGGGGGATGGGGAGGAGGCGGGGAGGAACCGGGAGGAAACGGGAGGGGGGAGCTGGGCGGGAGGCAAGCCCTGAGGCAGAGAAGTTAAGTTACAGGACGGTTCCAGCTGAGAAAAGGGAGCCTGTGAGGGAGGGGAGCAGGGCACCGTGAATCTTCACGGCCTGATCCCGTCAACTCCGTGCCCTCTTGCCCACACGCACGGCCCCAGGGTTCTTTGCTCACCTCTGCTCCGGGAAGGGCTACCCTCACCCTCCTGCCCATGACGGAGCCTCCCCTACAGATCAGAGTCCTGCCCTGCAGCACATTTCTGACGGGGACTTTGGGGTGCAGAGCAGAGAAGAGGAGGCGGCTGAGGGAATAGGCATCTGGTGGTACCCCTAGAGGGGCCCGTGCCCACAAACCTTGACAAGTCATTTGACAAGAAAGGCTCCACATGTCCCATGTTAAACGAGGAAAATGACTTCCGAGCTTGTGTACGGGCAGGAAGCAACAGTAAGACTGCCCGAACTGTGGGCTGCCATGATCCCACGATCGATAACACGCCCCATGGGTCAACTGTTTTGACAGCGGAAGAAAGGAACTGGCGGCCAAGCCAGGTACCCGTGTCACCTTTCAGCAAGAAGCTGGAAGTGGCCGGAAGATTCTAGAAGAATGAAATCAGACATCTGAGCCCTGGCTAAAGAGCTCGCCCTGAGAGACGGCAGACTGGCTGTCAAAAGAGAAGTCACCATCTGGACATGGAAATTCAACTCTAGAAGGCTTTCTGCAGAGAGGGTCCCGGGACCACCATGCTCCGCAGCAAGGGGAAAAAAGAAAGAAAAATAAAACAAAAGAACTCACACGGAACAGAGTCTATTTAGAACCAAGTGAAATCTAGTGAGCACTTCCCTGAGAAGTCCAAGCGAATCCCCTCCCCAAGAGCCCTCTGCTGCAGTCCCCTGGGGGGTGGGGTGGGGAGGGGGTCAAGCTGAGCTGCTCCACGTGATACTCAGCTCTGCTCCTGATGATCGGGTGGCATGGCCATAGGCTGCTCTCCCCCAGGGAGCCAGGACTCAGCATGTCAGAGTCTGAGACGCCACTTTGAATTTTACTTTTGAAGATGTTGATCATGGCCAGGACCGCGATCATCCTGACGGTGACACTGGGGACGCTGATGGGGACGGCAGTGGTAACCATGGGGTGACGGTGATAAAGATGATGGTACCGATGACTAACGTGATGATGGGGGGTGTGAAGTTCATGGTTCTGGAGATGGTGATGGTGGTGAGTGGTGCTGATGATGCTGATGGTGATGGTGGTCTGGTGATGGCAACAGTTATCACATACTGTGAACTGTCTGAGAGACACACATTCGATCAGTAACTCTGTTACTGATGTCTCCTGGACCGCAAATGGCCAGCAGGGTTCAAACTCAGCGTCCATGATCCCAAAGCCCATCAGAATGTCCCTCTCCAAGGCTGGTCCCAACACAGCCCATGCTTTGGGGGGGGTCATAATCCTGCTTTGCATCTTTTCTGAAAGAACTTGAATCCAGTGCCTCCTCACTTGACAGATGGAGATGCGGAGGGCCAGAGAGGAACACAGCTGATGAGCCAGGAAGAGGCAGCAGTGCACTGTCTGGGCTTCAGTGTCCAGGGTTCAGCCTTGCAGCACGACCCACAGGAGGGTCTTGGTAAACACTGGGGGCCTGCTTCGAGAAGCTCAGAGAGGGACTAAAGGTCTCTGGGCGCTGTCCCCCAGGTGCCATCCCAGTTTCCCTGGCAGACAGGCCCCTGTCCTGGGAAACTTCATCAGATCTCCCCTAGGGCAGGAAGGGAGCAGCCACCTGCCAACAGCCTCTCCAGCCCCGCCCCCGCCCGACACAACACCAGGCAGGTGGGCACAGGGCGGCCGCTCCTCCTGTCAGCAGGCCTGCGTGAGGGGAAGGAACTTTGGCCCTATTTGGACGAGCAGCCCGAGGCCCGCCCGGTACACACGGCCAGGGAAGGGGAAGAGGCCAAGACGCACATGCAGGTCACTGAACTCGGGCTGCAGCCCAGCCCGCCGGAGACGGCTCCAAGTCCAGCCGCCCTCCCAGCCCGCACCGCTGCGCTCACATCCGCTTTGCATCCTGGGCGTCTGCCCAAGTCTCTTCCACTGAAACGGGGCTTTGCAGCAAGAGGTTCTCGGGATAATGCGTGAAATGGGGGGAGCTCTGCCTCCTTCTGGGGGGCACCTGCTGTCAAGGGAGGGCTTCAGCCCTTCCCCGCAACCCCTAGCTCCCACCCCTCCTGGGCTTGCAAGTTCCTGCCCCCCCACCCCTCCCTAGAGACCCCGCAGCTGGGCCAGTGCCTAGAAACCAGACATTCAGGCCGTGGCCGGCCAGAGCGTGAAGGGATGGCAAGGCACTGGCCCGGGCACCCTGGCACGGCTGCCCTGGCACTGGGCCTTCTTGGTCAACCCCAGGGATGGGGGTGATGGGGGTGGCATGCACCCTGGGGGGTTCGTGTGCACCCTCACAGGCACTGACTGCATCCTGCCCCTCGCTGCCAACTTGGTCAGAAAGTGCCGCTGAGTGAACAGAGGTGATGAGCATTTTAGGTGCCGAGAAGCGGAGCACTAACTGGGCACCTGCTGTATGCAGCTCTCAACCAAACTTCCTTCTTTCTCAAGGAGTCTCACGGAGCACCCCCAAACTCCTGCTGATGCCAAGTGACAGCAGAATAAAATGCGACCATCAGAAGCATAGGGTGGGGGGCTGGAGCGATAGCACAGTGGACAGGGCGTTTGCCTTGCACACAGCCAACCTGGGTTCGATTCCCAGCATCCCATAGGGTCCCCTGAGCACCGCCAAGAGTAATTACTGAGCGCTGACAGGGCAGCAGGAAGGGCACTCACCTCGCACGTTCCATCCCTGTCACCCCATGTGGTCCCCTAAGCCCTGCCCAGGAATAACTCCTGAGATTAGAGCCAGGAGGAAGCCCTGAGCACTGCCAGGTGTGGACCCCCGAATTAAAACATCTGCCTGTGTTCCTACTTAGCTCTTACCCCGCCAAGCTGTATGACCTCCAAAAAGCCAGTAACTCTCTCTGGGCCATAGTGACGCCCCCACCCCCTGCAGCAGGTGGCAAAAGCAGCATCTCCACACAGGACACATGACGGTGACAGGTCACAGCACACGGAAGCTCCATGCTGGTCACGGTCATTTCCGGTTGCTGCTGTGACGTTTATGGGACAGATGGTGGTACCAGGGTGCTGTGTGGCCCGGGGTACACAGGCTGATGGGAAGGGACCTGTGATGCTTGTTCCAGTATCTGGCTGCCACTGGAACGAGCGGGCATGCACTGAGGCATGACACGGCGGATGGCTGGACTCCAGCCAACCTTCCACGTCCAGCCCTCGGAAGTGCCCTGTCAGCTCTGAGCTCCCCCACTCTGGGCATGAGGGCTGGGCCAGCAAGGGCCTCTGTTAGCTCGCTAGGGAGCTGCCCCACTCTGCCCTGCCTCATGCCAAAGGGAACAGAAGGGGCTGGCAGCACCTTCCCACTCCAGAACGGGCTGTGGCGTGTGCCAGAGAAAGGCTGCGAGTCACAGCCGGGGCCACCCAGGGCTCTGCCCTGAGTCCCTCCCCCAGGTCAGCCTGTGTTCCAAGAAGACAAGCCCGGCTTGGGGATCTCTGAGTTCGCAGGACCCCAGAACAAGTGCCACGTTCAGTGCCCACAGAATGGGCGAACGGTTCCTAGAATCCGCCTGTCACTTCCCGGGGGCTGAGGAGGTGAGCTCTGGCCATGCCCGTACCAGGCCACTGACCCGTGACGGGTCTGGTGGTCATCATCAGTGGGGCATTGTTGGAGCCTCCCGGGGTCCTGACCAGGGTCCTGGGCTTTGGGCCACTTAGGAAGGTCTGGGCGAGATCCTCATCCCTGCGGGTCACAGGGAGCCGGCAGGGTGGGTGGGGAGGGCCGGGAAAGGCTGAGTTGGGGCTGAGCCAGCGGAGGAAAAGTGGGGGAGGAGGAGACGCGTGAGGCAGCAAGGGTGAAGGAGCCTGGCGTCTCCCTCGGAAGCTCAATCACCCAAAGCCTGGATGGGGAGGGGGTGGGTCCCCAACAGAGGCCACTTCCTGCTGGACTTCTAGGGGCTCCTGCAGGAAGACCCTCCATGGATGCCCTGGCTGACTTATCCCTGGAAATGGAAGGATCAAATTCTCCTCGAGACTGGGCTGGACTTTGCTGGCACTTCCCAGACTTGAGCTGGCCGTGGGGATAGGGAGGGGGAGCTTTGCTGAGAGGTCTAGGACCCTGCCAACGCCGAGATGGAGTGGCCTGGAGCCCCCACTTCCCCCACCTCGGATCTGTGGAGCTGGTCACTGAGATGGACCCCGCAGGGGGCGGGGGGGCCCGAGCCGGGGCTGGGTGCGGGCATGCGCAGAGCGCTCCACACATTAGCTGCTGCTTCTATTATTAGGCTTCTCATTTTATTTATTTATTTTTCATCATATCCTCTGCCAGAGGCTGGGGAATCAGGCGCGAGAACACAGAGGCCCCCCAATTACAGGAAGGCCCGAAAGGTGTTAGTTACAGCAGAGCCCTGAGAGCAACCTGGATAGCTTCCTGTGGGGGGGACCAACCCAGCCAGCTCCCTGGCAGACCAGGGAAGGGGA